ATCACGAACTTTTATTTATGCGTATCTTTTTTTTCCACTGTTTTTGTTTCCTTCGTTTAGTTTGGCGGACTTTTTTTTTCTGTTTTATTGGAGGAGTAGCCTAGCAACTTTGTAGAGGAAGAACGGAAAAAGGAAACTTCGGCTCAGAATGATGATCGCAATGAATTCATAATTAATCAATGACAACCACAGCACAGGTGTTTATTAATGAAACTGGTCAAAATAGACCGATGCAATAAATTTGATTGCTTTAACTGTAGTGTGCCAGGAACTAAATAAACAAGAAAGAAATAACAAAAAGAAAAGGAAAAATTTTCCGTCCATTAAACATATGAATCGCAATAGGCCTTCGTCGGGAGAAGATAAAGGTTGTTACAGTTGTCTAGTTTGTGTTGCATCAATCTTCATTTGGATCCAATTAGTAGTAACGCAACGAACAAATAGCTGAAACAGTTGGTAAAACACATTTAAAAAAACAGTAAACCTTAGTAACTTCGCTATAAATTTCTAAAGATATAAGGAGCACGTTTTTTTGCTATCTTTCGATGCATCAAAAGTATGGTGGGCACAATAATCGTTTTGTCGAACGAACCTCTAGGAGGTTGGGTCTAATTGAATTAAGTAGATGAATGGCCTCAATTGTCAATAATTTTTTGCGTTATAGGCGTTTTCTTAAAAGTTTGAACTAAAGATGATAATTTGAAAGAGGCCGACCTACCAAAAAAATAATCAGGTTAACTAAGCATCATTAAGTAAATTCCTAATTTAAATCATCAGGTCAGAAAAGATAAACCCTGAAATTTTGCACGCATTTTTGTTCCGACCATTGATGAGGGGAGATACTTAGTATTCAGGTGTTAATACAGCAAGACGATCGCCCCACTCTAAATCCTCCTTAAAACAAAACGATGAAGAATTTTTGTGCTCAAGAAATATCTTAACGAGAGCTACAGGGAGCTCGAGTCACTCGAGAGAGAGTTTTTAACTGCAAAATATTAATTTAAAGGGAGCATCTTTGAATTTTGCAAATATAAGGGTTCCCGCGGCGATGAATGTTAAAATTATGCAAACTTTCTTGAAATGTCACTTTTATCATCAACTTTATAGGCGCCATTTTGTTAGGCAAAGACCATATAAGTCAAAAACTCAATTTAGAACAAATTAATTTTTAGTCCAGAAATTTTACAGATAATCATCACGAAAAATTCATCAGAAAACTTTTGTAACAATTTTGTTTGCAATTTTTGTTTTAATTTTTTGGGTCAAAAACTCTAGATAAAATCTGTATAAAACTAATTTATTAAGCTCGTAAGAAAGTGCAAGAAAAAATTTGCCGGAAACGAATTTGAGTCTTGTATCAAATGACATCTTCCGGCTCTGTGAGTGCCTTATTTGTACAACATTAATTGCCATCCATTTCTTGTCAGAACGGGTGGCCTTGAAATTACTATCCACTAAATTCTCTTATATCCCTGTTACCTCAGAAAGAAAAATAAGCTTCGGAAATACAGCGTAATTGTGGTCCAAACATAATTTGATTGAGTATATCTTCAACAGCCAAATATTCTGGTGTCAGTCTGTTAGCTTATATGAGTTTTTATTTTTGTCCAACATCCAATCTCGGAAAAAAGATACCAGGAATTAAATTACAAATTATTTTAGATTCACTGGCACTTAGGAGAGCAGAGCGTACTATAACAAAAACATAAACCAGTCAGAGATGAGTATTCAAAATTTGAAGAACTGCGAAAGTCTCCAAAGGGTAGATAATGTCATCGGGCGGATAAAAAGAGTTCAAGCTGGCCTGTGAGATTACGACCACAATTCAGTAACGACAAAAGATGATCTAATAGAAATCAAAAAATCATGTCGATCAGCTAAACATTGTTATTAACATAATTGATCATTGGTTTTGAGCAATTGAGAAAGACCTTGAAAAGTGGTCATCTGAAAACAATTCATTCTGATCGGGTGAATTTTTGTTTGACCTCAAGAAGATAAAGCTTTTCACTGTTCTGTTGAAAAAAAAATTTTTAAAACATTTTAGTTTTAAAATGATGAAAAATAATCAAACCATTTAAACTAAATTGCGTCATTGATTGACTGCTGATGTTGCTGACATTTAAAGAATCAGTTGGTGAAGGATCTGTACTTTAAGAAATCGTTTCCTCGAAGAGTTGGAAGAAATAGATTTCTCTAATTTTTTTAATTCCGAACTCATTCAGCTTCCAACCTACTTAATGAAATTAAGTTTCAATAAAATTGTTCTTAAAATTTTACTGGCAGATATTATTTTTTTTAGATTTGTTTTTTTTTCTGCTACCAAAGACAAGGAAACTATAAAATAATAGGCACCTTAAAATCATTTTATCATAATCAAACTAAGCTGTCCTGATTTACAAATCTATAAAACTTCTCCAATTTGGTGGAAGTTATCTACGAGTCTATAACCTTTGGTTAATTTTCAGGAACACCTACAAGTTAAATTTGAAACATTTAGCAGATTGACTTTTCCACCTTCTAGAGAGAACGCTACAACTAAACACGGTTTATGGAGAACAAGGGCGTAAGAACTGAGCCAAATGGCACTCCAAACGCTAATAAATGTCTAATAATTGTCCAAATACTAAGTTTACATAGTATTTTCAGTTTTATGTTTTCTCTTTGCTAAACAACAAAATGAAATCTATTACGAGGCTAAACTGTGCAATCTGTGCAATGTAAGCGGATTTCGCAGCAGGCCAAAATCAGATTTGTCGCGGAATCCGCAACATTGCTACTTTTCTTTGATCTTCTTCGCTGTTTTGGATTCCACAAAAAATACCTAAAACACTGTACCGTTCAAAATCGCTCCAAAAACAGGCAAACTTGCGGAATCCGGAACCGTATTTGCGGAATCCTGAACAGTTTGTGGAATTAAAAAACAAACAAAGAAAAAGACATGTGTATAGTTGAATTGAGCTGTTGCGGAATCCGCATCTGTAAGCGGAGTCCGCAAATTGTAAGTAGAATCCGCAAAATGTAAGTGGAATCCGCATTTTGTTCGCAGATATGTGCAGTAGCGTTTAAAATTATATCTTTTAAATACTACGTTGATCAGCTTCCAGTTGAAATTCCAAATATTTGATCTCAATTCCTGTCAAACACCCAACTTCGATCTCGTCTCATTTCATGTCAAAGATACCCAACTTCGATCTCACTTCCTGCAAACACTTCGATCTCATTCTTGCCATCTCAGTTACTGCTAACTGAACAAACAGAAGTGAAACTATTCATCAGTTCATTTCAAGAAGTTCGATTTTTAAAAAAAAGTTTCAGTTTAGCCATTTTGAAATATTTTCAATTAGTGAAGCCAGAACATAGTTTGATAAAGCAACACTTTCAGAATTTTTTTTCATGTTTTGAACTTAAAATTTATTTCTGCTGTAGTTCAAGTTTTGCTAATTTTTATCTATACTAACTTACTGAAATTAGTTTAATAAATCATTTACTCCTTGTTAAAAAACTACTTTAAATAGATAATTGACTCTCGCAGACATTTTTGACAGTCCGGCATAATTGTTTCAGAAGATAACACATGCTGGAAGCAATAAAAATATTACGAAAACATGTTATTTGTCGTAATAAATTGTACTTTCCACAAAATGCGTGCTACTATGATAGAGTGATTGTCTTAAAATAACCAAATTCCTTGAGAATAAGACATTCAGAGCTCTAAATTTGTTTAATGATTGTGAGTTAGCTATTCAGAAAAATTTAAATAGCTAACTCGTGATTTGATTTCACCTTCATGAATTGATTTTACTCTGTCATCTCATCCTAAATACTATCTTCATGATTTGAATTCACGCTCCTAAAAACTGAATCTCAAATACTGATTCCCAAGTACTGAATCCCAAATACTTAATCTCAAATAGTGACTTAATTGGGCAATATTTTAACCCAATAACTCCTAATAAGGATTTCATTCGGTATTGTGTTTCCAAAACTATGATCCGAAAAACTGCTTACTGTGATATGTATCCAAATACTAAAGTGTGACATCCATTGATTTAGTTAACCAATGTTTTAGGATTTGTTCGAAGATTCAGCTGACAATTGGCAAGTTCTCCGCAAATGCATATGCAAGTTCAGTAAAAAACAAATTTCTGAACCCACTTACAGTTTGCGGATTTCGCTCACAAATATTGCATGTTCCAGTTACATTTCGCGGAATCCACTTACAATTGCGGAATTCAGAACAAAAATTAGCTATTTTTGTTTGCTGCGGAATCCGCAACAAGTTAAATTGGAGACAAAATTTACGTTGCAAGTATATGTGCGCGGAATCCATGTAAATCTTGTAAATGGATTCCCAATGAAATTTTCCCAAAGACCTAGCTTTTCTCTCAAAAAAAATTGAAAAGTAGCCGCAGGAAAAATTCGCGCAACCGCTTTTTTTGATTAAAATTTATCTTCTCAGATTTGATTGGTTAATTTTTAAGCAAATTCAAAAACTTTCTTAAAAAAAGTCAAAATTTAAAAATCAGTAACTTTTTTCATCTAAGCGCAGGTCGTGGCCGATAAAGTAGTCAAGATTTCCAAAACTATGCTTCTCGGTTGAACATTTAAACTGAGAATTGGCAAGTATTTTTTGAGTGGAGTAAGAAAAACTTCCAAAAAACAGTCTTACTTTCAAAATTTTCACTTGTTTAAATGCCATTACAATTTTCTAGCAAAACTGAGCGCAGATAGTTTTAAAGATCGGCTTCCAACAACCTGTTGGATCAATTAAAAACGCAATATCAGTTTTGACAGAATAGCCATCGAGAAAAGACCAAAAAATGATCATCAAATCAGAGAGTTGAAATTTCCGAGAATCACAACTCTTATTTTAAAGAAATTGGGCGCAGCCGCCTATTTAGAAGCGATTCACCCAATCAATTATTTCGGTTGAACTCTAAATTAAATTTGGCCGGTTAGTTCTCCAAAAAATTCAAAATTTTCTTAAAACGGAGATTTTGGGCGTAGTCACATATGCAAAAGAGCTTCTCACCCGTTCTTTAGAATTAACCCAAAATTTCAAAAAAGACAAAAATTTGACTTTTCTGAGGACGATAACTTTTTGCGTAAGAAAATGGAAATTGGCACCGCTAATGTAGGGGAGCTTTCCACTACCCGTTGTCTCACTTGAAGCCACAATCTCAAATTTGAGAGGTTAGTTTTCGAGAACCCACAATCTTAAATTTGGGAGTGTAATTTTTGAAGAAAATATGAAAGAAATTGAAAAACGATCAAAAAATCAAAAACTTGACTTTTCGGAAGGCCGTAGTTTTTTGTGCAAAATTGCTTTTTAATGCGAGTTTTTCAACTCTTTACTTTTCATTGAAACCTATATATCAGATTTAGTAAGAAGGTTTTTGAGAAAAGGAAAAAAAGTAACGTTCAAATGTCTCCCGCCTCCCCACCAAGGACGTTTTCGAAGGCTATAGACAAAATGGGAAAGCAAAAAAAAAGCCAAGTGAGTATGCAGCCACGCAAAAATATAGGCGTTCTTTCTATGTGTAGTACTCTTTTTCGAGATCAGTAGAAAGGTTTCTATTAAAAAAAATTTTTTTTTTTTTGCAAAAAGTCAAGACTTTCCAAAGCGTCTCAAAAAAAACAGAAAGTCCATATGCTTTCACAATAGCTTTTTTTTATCCTCAAGAATTCTAGACAATTAATGTCAATTCTAGACAATTAAAAATTTTAAACTCAAATTAGCAGCTGAAAAAAATTACGAAGCGTAACCAAGGCCGACATTTTTTTTATCAGACATCAGTTAAGCCGAAAAAAAACTGACAATGCAAAAATATTCGAGAAGTTTCAATTCCCCCTGAAACTACCCTGTAGTAACTAGTACATAGCCAGTAGTTAAATTTGAATTGTGCAAGTTTGGTTGCTGCAGAAATGAATGCTGCAGAATCGATTCAATTGATTTTGTTAAACTAGTTGCTAACTAGAAAAAAATCTATATTCCAGTTTGATAACGCAAATGTAATTAGTTGTGAAATTTTTCGACCCACCTTTTATTTTCAGAAATACACTCGTGGACAAAACTAAGCGCATATTCAGGATTTTACTCTCCTAAATCCCTGTGTTTAATGTTCATTTTGGACAACATTTCCTTCGAAATTCAGTAAAAGTTCTACGTAGACCAAGAGCAGTTACGTTGTTGATTGGTTCGGTTCAAGTTTTTTTTTGCAAAAGGACAACGTGAAATTGTTGTCTTTACAATACCAAATCAAATGAACAATTCGAATAGGACAACATAAACAAATTTTCAAAATACTTCTTCAATTGAAGGATGGAGTGGAAAGAGCTAAACTTGCTTGCCATATAAGCTGAACAACAAAGGTTCGTCATGCTGTGGTCAAATCAATTTCAATTTCCCCCTATCCTTTTAAATAACCCCCTCACCCCTTACCCCATTTGATTTTTAATTTGGAAATTGTTTTCGCTTTCCAGAACAAGTACTTAGGCTTTTCCCCCAAAAACAACTTCAAAAAACTGAAACAGATCTCTAATGAAATTGACCGAGTTGGAACCCAAACATCTTTGAGGCCTTCTAATTTGATCTAGAGGCAGAACACGTGCCTTCTGAACATAAAGTTTAGTGTTGGAATTCGGGCTACATCTTATTTTTCTTCGATTTTTGGTTGAAATTTTTTAGTTTTTGGTAAGAACCCAGTTGGGCGAAAATCATTTGTTGATTTAATTATTGTTGGCTAGTGTCCAAAGCTTAGATTTTTTTGTTCAGTGTGACTAAACTACAGAAGCTATTTTAACTATAATTGAAATTCATTCTGTAATTTTTAAATTTAACAACTCTCATTTTGTTTAGGTACATTTTTTTCCTTTTTTTTTCGCTTAATTGAGTTATGCTTGGGACTGCAGTAATGATTTTTCTTCTTAACATCCTTTGAGGTACGTGTTTAGAACTTTGAAACGTGTTTCCCGGGATTAAAAAAAACTACAATTTTTTTTATTTCGTAAAGCATATGAACGAATTTTTTCTTCATGTTTTGTCGCTTTCTCTTCCAATATTTAAGTAGAAATTGGGTGACACGTGCTAAATTAAACTAATTAGAGGCAGCTAGAAAAACTAAAATATGAAAAATTACGTTTTGAAGCCTAGAAAAGCCAGTATATCATAACCAGTTTCAGAGGTTTTCTTGCTGTGGAAACTTTCTTGAAAGCAACACAAGGAATTTGAACCTATGTGCTCAAATGAGTTATTTGGGAAACTAATGAGCTTTGTTAACTCTTTTTTTCCCGGAAACTTTAGAGATAACAGAATGGAAAAAGTTTTTTTCAACCGTTTTAAAAAAAGTTGCTAAAAATTCATAGTTAATTGCGCGCTGTGGATTTTTCCAATATAAGCAGTAAATTTGTCTCCAGTGTTCTTCCAAGTTTTTGATATGAGCACTTAATTTTTTTTAAAATCTGTATCGTCTAACAAATACATCAAGACAGATAATTCCTCAGCAAGAACACTTCTCAAACCAATTAAGATATACTGGCATTTTTAAGCTTCAAAACAAAGTTTCTATATTTTTGATGTCTTGAGTAGAGTAGAGAAAATGACAACAAAATCAAGAAAAAATAGTTGATATGTCACCAATCTGCTCGCTTACAATGTTGTGTTTTAGTTGTATCGCATTTATTGCCAAGCTCTGCTTGGCCTATATTTTTAAGGGGTCATATTGTAAAGACATTTTGTATGGCGAGAAAATAAATGTTTTCAAAAATTTTCTTTTCCATACCTTAAAGCAAAAAATACTCATTTGAGCATAATGTTTAAACTCGATGTTTAAATGCTATACAAAACTTTTGGCTTTCTTCTACTCCTTCCTCCCAAATTTAATTTTCAAATTTGAAAAAAAAACTAATTTAACATTGTCAGAATTCAATAAAAATTTGGATGGAGAACAGATTAACATAGCAATATCACGCATTCAGTCGTTATAACATATAAAAACAATTATGAAAATGTGTGTGGTTGGAAAATTTGGCTCTTTTTTCTCCCCCCCCCCCCCCATCTCACACGAGCTTCAATATATTAGTGTAACGAGTGGTTTTACGAGGTTGAGTATGAAGATAAAATATGTTTGTCGTGGCCTTATTAGTCTGTAGGTAAATTTTCATAACAATCGGACAATGTGGTCGACAAAGTTACATGAAAAAATTTGCTTGTGGGGGGAAGGAAAAAGAGCCGAAATTTTTTCATAGATGTTAAAAAGCAATCACTTTTTTCCTGATGCGAGCGGTCTTATCTCCTTTAAAGCAATGATTGGCTCTTCTGCCGTTTCAACCCACTTGAATTATAAAACTTTATTTGTTATGTAGTTTTGCTCACATTGTGCAATTTTTTCTAAAAGTTGGTGGCTCTTTTTCCTTTTCCCGCATCACATGAGCATCAATCTTATGGTGTAAAGAGCGGGCTTACAGTACTTAGTACTTTTACTTGTAAAAATTTGCATGTCCTCAAAAAAGATTGCCTATCTTTCCAAATTTTGTAAAGGGTAATTTTTCCGAACCACAAGTCCTCAACTTCAGCACGTGACAAATTATGCTAACGTAAATTGTTAATAAACAATGCCATTGCTTTGGCCTGTCATTAACATAATTTCATTTGAAACGTCTTGGCAGAAACATTTCGAAATAATTCTTAAATCTTAATAAACTTAATTGTCGCGTTAAATTAGTGAGGTGAAAATATTCGATTAAAAATGACGCTGAAAAAGATAATGACCAGTTCTGGACTGGTGCCCTTTGACAGCAAGAAACCGACAGTTTGTAAGGGAGATGAGAATATACTGAATCTGATTCCTGGAAATCGAACTGAGGCGCTTGTTCCGAAGAGGTACACTGGGTACACTTCGTGTTTCAAACCGAGTGTTGTGGCCGAGCGGAGGAGGAACAGACACTGCCGACGCACTATGGGATTCGCTTTGGAACCTCTGAAAGGTCTAGTGAACAATGATGCAAGAGACAGATTCGTTTTGAAATGAATCGTTATCTTTTTTATTAGAGTCTCTGCCTATTGAGCTAACAAACAACTGAAGTTCAGCAAAAAAAACGCAATTTTTGGCATCTTTTTCAAACACTGATATTAAAGATCTCATAGGTGGGCGCAAGCTGAAATAGTGATTTTTTATCTTGCAATTTACATACTAAACATGCCTAATCTTTACATCATTTCATGCCTCTGAACAGACCCTGACTGTTACCTGAAGAAGAACTGTGGGATAAGACCTCCGATGCACTGTGTGACCAAACACAAGCACGACCCCTGCGACCTCAAACCCCCCATTCCCAAAGATCCACCTCTGATGAACCAGAAAAGAGACACTGACTTCATCAGGCTGAATGCAGCAGAGAATATTCTACTCAAGGCATTGATAATTCAATTTCGGTTAAAGAAAGAATAATGGTTCTTTTCCACTCCCCCACATTTCAAATTTTCCATTTTTTCAATTGTCTTACGTGTTATTATGGCTGAACGCGTGATTTTACGAAGTAAAGTACGAAGAACAAAATTGTGTTAAACTGAAACTCGAATGTGAGGGGGGAGAGAAGAGCTGGAACAATTTAATCTTCCTGAATTTTTCCGTTCAAAAAGTTTCAGAAGTTGATATCAAAGCAAATCAGTTGAGGAGGCACTTACATAGTAGTAAGACGTTCTCCTCGGTGATCGTCAAATTGTATAATTGATGCCCTGCCATGGCAATGACAGTGTGTGAGGACAACCTCTCACTTGAATTCCAGCTTCGGGTCTACAGCCTGAATGTTATAAATTATAGGACAATTGATTTATTTGGTACAAGTATGATAGTTGTGCTCTTTTTCCACTTTGCTTCTACCTTTCAGAGTATCGATTTTTATGTTTGTTTTACGTATTATTACGGCTAAATGCGTATTGTTGCGATGTGAAGTATGGAGAAAAAGTATGTTCACAGTTGTCAATTTGACACCATGCCAAATTTTGTTGTATTATGAGAACGTTGAATAATCTTTTAAAAACTGATTTCGAAAGGGGGAACCTGGAAAAGAGCCGATAGTTGGGTCCCAGGAAAAAGCAAGCATGAAAGATGGGTCCCGCAAGTTCTATGAAAATTAAAAAAAAAACAAGTAAATGTGAGGCTTTTTTCCTTCCCCTCACCAGCAAGTTTTTACAAGCAAAACTTTCGTCTCTTTGTTATGAAAACTGCCATACGGACTACCAAAAAACCTTGTAAAACTACTCATTAGACCATAAAATTGATGCTCGTCTAAAATGACGGGAAAAAAACCGAGTTGCAATCTATAATTTGGAAGATTTTAAGGCCAAAAAAATTATCTTTAGGGATCTTTAGGGCATTGCGTTAACAATGTTTCGGCTCTTTTTCCTTCCCCCCCCCCCACCTGCAAATTTTTACATGTAAATTTGTTGACTACATTGTCCGATTACTATGAAAATTTACATACAGACTAATAAGGCCACGACAAACATATTTTATCTTCATACTCAACCTCGTAAAACCACTCGTTACACTAATATATTGAAGATCGTGTGAGGTGGGGGTGGGGGGGGGGGAAGGAAAAAGAGCCAATGTTACGTTTTCAAAATTGAAAGGTGGGGAGTAGAAAAGAGCCTTTTTCAGTTCCCCGTTTTTAGCTTCCCCGTTTTTATTTTTATAAACCTTCCTCAGATTCTCTTCAAAATCATTTTGATTACATAACCCAAGCAGTGGATTTTGTAGGATTTATAGTAGCTGACTATTTATAATGAGAAATCCCGGCTCTTTTCCAGTACCCCTTCAAATTCAATTTTGAAAAGTCTATTTAACGTTGTCATAATGCAATGAAATTTGGGGTGGTGAACAAATCGACAATTCTGAACAGATTTGTTCAACATACTTTACAGCGTAACATCACGCATTTAACCGCAATAACACGTAAATCAAACATAAAACTCGGTAGTTTGAAAGGGGGGAACTGGAAAAGAGCTGAAATTTCTCAGAAAAAGAAAAAGAGATCGATGCAAAAAGTGTCACGACCTGAAGTAATTTAAGTCGGCAGTAGAAAAACATATGAACAGTCGTCAGCGATGTAAAATTTTAAGGGCTGTCCAAATGCAATCAGACGTGGCTTCATCGACGACAAAAAGGGTCACTTCGAACCACTCACAGGCAACAACCTGGAAAAGAAGTACGTGTACAAGCCTGCCTATGGAAGGACCCCCAAGTACTTGTTGAGGAGATACAAACAGCAGTACGACACGCAATTAGAGGAGGACAGGTGAGTTGAAACGAAATACAAAAACGTTTTAAACTCAATTTCTTAACTTTGAGTGTTCTGTATCCTGTTGAAACAAATTTTATCATCATCAGCGAAGAAACATCACTCTTTTAAACTTTTTAGGGTAGTTTTGCAAGAAGCTATAGTTATCCGATCCACCTCACACTTAACCACGTGTATAGCAAACTGACTTTGAACTTATATAAAACTAAAACAGTGAGGTTCACAAAACAGAATGAGGCTCTTTTTCCTTTCCCCCCACCTCACACGAGCTTCAATATATATGTGTAACGAGTGGTTTTACGAGGTTGAGTATGAAGACCAAACTTGTTTGTGGTGGCCTTATTAGTCTGTATGAAAATTTTCATAACAATCGGACAAAGTGGTAACAAATTTACATGTAAAAATTTGCAGGTGGGGGAAAAAGAAAAAGAGCCCAGAATGAAAAAAAAACAACTACTCAATTCAAATGAACAATGAGGACATAGAGCAAAAGTCCGTTTTCAACTATGGGTTTGTATCTCAATAAAAAACTGGAATTCAGAGATCACATTGAAACTTTTAACACTAAGATTAATAAATTCTGTGGAACCATTTATCAACTGCGTAAGATTTTAAATAAACAGCAGTTGAACCAGTTTTACCAAACATAAATTAAACCAACCTATTGTTCAATATGGCGTGTTAGCATACGGGTCGACTTCCAAATCAAACCTTGGCAAGATTGCTCGCAACATCAACAGATTAACAAGAGTTTTAACTTTCAATGAAAAAGTTCGTATCAGAATAATTAAAGCGGGAAAAAAATTTTTTTTTTTAATGTAAGAGAGCTTCATTTATACGAAATCTTAAAGCTTCTCTGACAAATTATTCGCGGTGAATGTGAATCTTTGGCTTCAACAAAATATTCTTGTTAAACTTATTAAACTTTTTAAATAATTTGGTTCAAGTTGAAATGGTGAAGTGTCGGTAAGAAGAAGCCTCTCGAGGATTCCAGAAGCCGGCTGAAGACAGCATCGCTGACAATGGACCGAAAAGGCAGCCACGATGCAACTGTGAAAGAGGGAAAAAGAAAGTGCGGACATTACAAGAAATTACTTCATCTTCATTCTAGTTTATTCCTGTGCGTTGGCTAAGGTGATACACTTCACTTCACACCGGAGTGTATTGGGTTTGATGCCGGCGATATTGCTTCACTTATGAAGTTATCTGCGAATGTGCTATTGTTCTGCAACGGTTGTGTCAATGCTAGCAAAAGAGATGCGTTGCTTTGTGAGAGTGCCTCTGCGAAGAATCAATTTATCAAAATTAGAACCAATGAAGTTTTGGAGAAGCTCACTTGTGAGATTCAAGAATTGAAAGAATCAACAGATCAGCTAAAAGCTTCTCGGAAATCAGCTGATCCACCAATTATCGAAAAGAATCATAGCGTTGATCAACCCACTAGTTCTCATTCAATCAACGCTAGTGTACCTGATCGACCAATCAACAACAATCTAAATTGTCAGTTACGATTCGATGGCTTTGAAGAAACTGACTAGATGCCGGTTGCGAGTGAGCATGCAGTGCTTTCCAGCATGTTTGAGCATATGAAGCTCACTGTAAAACCGGTGATCTTTGACATCTGCCGACTTGGAAAAAGAAGCAAAGAGCGTACTCGCCCTAGATTACTTCGGTTACATTCAACACGGCGCTGGATGCTAGACGTGTTCTGGAAAATGCAAGTTACTTGAAGACTTTCGACAAAGCTCGTGAACTCAATCCTTGCCCTAATTACATAAGTTAAGCTCTGTCCCTGGCAGAAACTCAGCTCGAAAATGCTTTACTGGTCAAGCGAAGAGACTTTATTTGAAAAGAAGTGGATCAATCCAAATTCAAATATCGTTCGCTGAGACTTTTTTTGTACAAAACAGAAATCACAGAAGACACCAACATTGACGAGCTATTACAAATGAAAAGACTGAGATTGAATAGTGTTGAAACTATTGAAGAAAACGTCGAGCAGATGATTGCATCATCTGATTATTGACTGTTACACCCGCATCACTGCAGTTGAAACTACTGATGTTCAATGTTCGGAGCATTGTTAATCTCGGTAGACGACAGTCTCTATCAAACTCTATACTAATTCACGACTTTGACATCTTGTGTCTATGTGAGACTTGGACTCACGAAAATTTTGGCGACAATGAATTATTTTAAACTGGTTACTCATTATGTAGCAGTGAGCACCAAGCAGGGTCTCACGGAGGTTCTCTGGTAGCTGTGAAAAACTTAATCAACTTTGAAATTCTGCAATCGCGCTATCAATTCATGCAACCAGGAGAGTGCTGTGCAGCTGCTGTCGTCCACACTGAAATACCTTTCCTTTGGTGTTGGCTGACTTCTACAGTCCTCCTGCAAACAGTTGATATAGATGGGACCTTGATTTTTTTAAAGAAAAACTCTCCAGCACTTAGCTGATTACGCTCGCTTAAGATCATGGCCATTCATACTCGTTGGGAATTTTAGTCTCAACGGTGTTCAGTGGGATGGTATGTACCTTAGTGATGAAAATGAATGCTCTTGTTTGGATATTTTTGATGATCTTGATTTACAGCAGTATGTTGACTTCAACACTACATAATTGAACATTACGGATTTGATCTTGGCAACGAGTGATGATTTTGTTTTTGAATTTAAGAAAGTCGATAAGTATTTTGCGTATAACGCTGATGGAACTGCTTTCTCAGATCATTTCCCAGTTCAGAGCACAAAACAAACTTGTATAACTTCAAAAAAGCAGACGAATATAAAATCACCGAAATTGTACAACGTTTCCATTTTCTGCCAATTTGCTGGACAAATCCCACTCTACTTGTTGATTTGTGGACTGATTGGTTAGAAACTATTATGAGTCAATGTATTCCGAAGAAAACAATGCATAGGAAGACTCTGCCTGTGTGGATCTCTTCACAAAGTTCATCTTAAAGTAAACGATTGTATACTCTTCTAAAACACCCAAAAAACTCAGAAACTTATCAGAGTAATCTTGAACGATTACAAGATGTTGTTGAAAGAATTTAGGATGAAGACTTAAAGACATACGAAGCTGAAATTTTCGAATCCAGAAACACAGACAAAAATTTCAAGCACTTTTGGAAGCTCAAATGCACATCAGGTCTTCCTCCTATAATGAAGTATGGGGACAATACAGCAGTGTCTTCCAGGGAAGAAGCGAATGCCTTCAATCAATATTTTCAATGCTCTCTCTCAGTTGTCCAACTGAACCCGTACATGATATTCCAGTTGAATCTTTCCGGTACCATCCAAATGAAGACTTCGACACTTCAGAAACTAAAGTTCAAAAAAACTGAAGGAAGTCGATTCAACTAAAACCTGTGGACTTGACTGAATTCCGAATTGGTTTTTAAAAATCCGCCATTTGTTGTTTTTCCAAAAGCCTCTCTACAATCTTCACAAAATCAAAGCAGCTGGGAATATTTCGAGAACAGTGGAAGCAAGCAACCATCTCGCCTCTGCATAAAGAGGGAGGAAAAGATCGAATTGATAACTACCGGTCTGTAGCCCTCCTATCTTGTGCGAGCAAAATCATCGAGAAATGCATTTTTGAAAAACTCTTTGAAGTCATCTCTCCACTATTGGGGGACTCGCAGTATGGATTCCACAGGGGCTTTCATGCGCCCTGCAGCTTCTGAAATGGTTGAATCTCATTTATCCTGAAAGAGATCTGGGAAACGAAGTTCATGCTATCTATTTAGACTTACAAAAAGCCTTCGATAAGGTCGATCACAGAGTATTATTATGGAAGTTGTACAATAAGTTTGGAATTTGGGGATCGGGGAAATTTGCTGAAGATCAAAAAAAATTAACGGAGTCGACGCAGTCAAACAGTAAGAGCGGATGGTGATCTGTCACAGTCTGTTCCAGTTACCAGAGGACCTCTATTGTTTTTTGCGTACAATGACAATCTTCCGAGCAACGTTGAACTGTTTAAAACTTTTATCTTAGCAGACGACTCGCAAGTACTTAGTTGCGGAAAATCCTTACAGTCGTGTCTTCAGAACTCTGAGTTGTGGGCCACTGACAATTCTATGGCATTTAAAACCAAGAAAAACAAGTTGATACTTTTTCATGGTGTTGATGTCGTGCCACGTCACAGAGACCCAGTCTTAGTTGTTGATTCTTATCCAATGTGGAGTAGTCATATATATGCACGCCTCATCATGTGCAATAAACTCTATTATATGATCAAGCGGAATGTCTCAGCAATAATAACTGTAACATCGAAGCTCCAGCTTTATAAAAGAATTGTGATCTCGACTTTGTGCTATGCATCTGCTGCCTGGAACCCCTGAAAGTGATATGCGTAAAATTGAAAGTATGCAAAAGCACCTAACCCGTTGAATAACTCCATGGATAGAAAAAAATACGGAGCGTTTGAAATATTTGTAACTTTTACCCATCCCTTTCTATATGCGAATGTTAGACGTTTTGACCTGCGTGAAGATTGCTTCCGGTATTTATGATTTTGTTTCGGCTAATGTTATCTCCTATCGTATGTCTGAGGGAAGAAATAATCGTGTTCTTCCTATTATTCCCACTGTTAATCTGAGCTCTCGTAGAATGAATTCTCCACACGAACGGCTAGACTCATCAACCTACTGCCGCGGCTTCTCCAGTTTCTGTGGCAACAGTTCGAGAACAACCCGTTGGACACTTGTACATGGAGATTTGCGTGCCGTTGTTCAAGTTGCCGTAGTTAGCTAGCAACTTGAACTTGAGTTAGTTGCCGTAGTCTGTGGTGCTTATTTTGTTTGTGGGGGAAACCCCTTCAGCATTTTGCTGTAAATTTGTATTTGTACTGTATTGTATTGTAATCTCATCCGAAAATTTTAAATTTACATCATAATCATAAAAAAAGTAAAGAAATTACTGATCAACTCTAAAAAAACACCTTAAATTTTTCATTGTTACCAGAACTTGAAAACTCTACAACTGTCTCACAAATTTTTTTTCCAACTTTTTTGAAATGACTTGCACAAAGGCACGGAACGAAATTAACAACTTTCTCCATAAGTTTCTAGAGACCACAATAGAAGGAAATAGGAAGTTAATAAAATGAATTTTCTATTTTTTTCATAAAACTGGTTTTATTCCAGGTTTACATCTCACCAAAATTTTCACCTTTAGTTTTCAATTTTCTAACTTTCTAGTTTTTTCAATTCTATAGTTTTGAAAAGTTTTCATTCTATAGTATTGTAACAAAAATAACGGTGGTATTACACCACCATCCCAATTAAAACCTGTTCTTTTAATTGGGATGGTTGCTCTCAGAGTCGTCTAAAAACAGGCAAAATTTGTCTAATGACGATCTCCCAGACTGGGCTCATTCAAGCGGTCATTTTTATAATTTATAATGATCAATGTCAACCTATACTGGAAACAATTTATTATGATTATCATTATGATTATTATTATAAAACAGGTGGTTAACTGAAACTGTTAGGTGGAGCTGATAACTAGAGTTTACGGTAAAATTACCCTATAAAGGTTGAAAATTGAAAAAAAAACGTTTAAATGCAGTATTTTTGCTGCAGTTTAGTCTGAAAGCACAGCGAACATACAACGGTTCTCAGTAATGAGCTGAATGTTCCTATGTTGCGGTTTTTTATTCTGTGGATGAACTAAACTATATAAGAGTCATGAACATAGTGAATATTCTTGTATGGGTTGTGATGATTTTTCTTTTGGTTTTATTTTTCTAAGAAATTGACTTTTCGTGTTATTATTATGATTTTTTTTTTGAAGTTCGGTTAATTTCTTTTGTTGAAATGAAGGTAAGTTCGACTATCGAACAGTAAAAGTGTACAGGTCACGAAAAACGTGATCGAATTCTAGTTTCGAAAGTGGTTTTAATTTGCAGATGGCTTCAACAGCGGAATAAAAATATACCTATTGATCCAGTTCTCTCATATTGGGGTAATTTCATCAATCACATTTCATGACTCTTTTCCAATTGTGGGCTATGTTTTCATCTTTGTCTGTAGGCTATGTTTTTTTTCGGACCACAAGGCCGGATTAAAAAAAGGACTCGAACGCATAGTTGGAACAGAGAGATCTTTCAAGGTCCAAAATTATGTTCAAAAATTTACCTGCTCTTATTTAGGTACAACGGAGAGTTCCTACAGAGGGGCACTTCTAAGCTGCTGTGTGAGGATGAGAAGCAGGCCCTTCTGTGGGGTCTCAAGCAGAACTGGGAGTCAGTGAACAAAGAGTACATCTGTGGACTGAAGGCCAGTGACTCAAACGTACAGAAGAGGCCAGTACAGTAGTTTTTGCACTAATCTAGACCATATTTCCCTGTGCTGGTCCTTTCCCTCAAAATGAAAATGGCCTTAATTCCTTGTTTTGATCGATCTGGTTTCAGGTACAAGGAGAAACTGGAAGCTGAGCTGGATGACATCAAGAAGGACATAGACTTGCTGGAGAAACACCAGTTTGTTTATGTGCCCAGAGACGAGTAGAAAATGAGAAAAGAAGGGAATGGAAGGGAAAGGAAGAGTATCCAACCTCTCCCTTTAATTTTATGATACGAATTTGCGTATGAACATAAATTTCGGCTGAAAATTTTATTCGAAATTGTTTCGCTCATAACCTTGTACAGCTATACTTTTTTTGAAATGAGGGTAATGTTTCCTCTGCTATGAAAAAACGTAAATTCATTCGCATTGATTAAAGTGAGTTTTACAAACAGATTGTTTTTGAGTTAAGTTTTCGGCAGAAAAAAAATACAGATTTTGTCTCGCATTATCATGATAAACAAGAAGTAAGAATGAGCACCTTAGAATTCAATTGAGAATCAGTTTGCATTGGGAGGCAAAAAAAATACTTTGAAGCGATAAAATTTATCGTATCTGATTATGAGAATACGATAACGCTTCATAAGGCTGGCCAGTCAAACCTGTCTAAGAGCAGAATGGGTCTATAAGAAGAGTGTAATTGAAGGTAAACTTTGTACTTTGGAGTGCAACTGTAACTAATACTGAATTTTGAATTTTGGACTTAACTGGTTGGTCAAATTCGTTTCTTTAACAGGTCATTGCTACTACAAAATGGGAATTTTCAATTGTTAAATCGAGAAAAAAAATGAAAAAATCTAAAATGTGAGAAAATTTTCTTAGAAACGAAAATAAAAAACAAAGATATCCAATATTACAAATCGGTTGAATCCAAGTTGCTCGTGATCCAAACCTTGTCCAAAACTGTACCTGATTATTTATAATGATTCAATTATCAACACACTTTCCAGTCTCAATCATTTTGAGCCTCAAAAACAATACTCCAGAATGAATTTTTGAGCAAAAATTTTCAAAGATGTCGAAAAAAATCCTATAATATTGCTCAAAATATGATACAACTTGAAGTGTGCTACAAAAAAGGAACAAAAATTTACCAATAGTGTCAAAAATTGAAGATCATCTTTAAATTGAGAGATCTTAACAATCTCGACACAATTTTCTTCTTTATCCACTTAAAGCTATGAACTCCTCTTCGCCAAAGTCGGCTCATACTTGAAAAATTGCCTCAGTTTGGGGATTTTAGACCGGAAAAACCAAAAAAAAAAACTTACAACATTTTTATCAAAAATTTGTCCGAAACACGCATCGAATTAGTCTGCTTTCCATTGGCGCCTGATACCATAATAGCCGATTAAGAAACCTGAAACTAAGTATTCGAGAAATTGACTATGCTTTGGCACAATTTGTGTGCTAGTTTTTTTCGCAATATATCTACCGAAAAGCTCAAAGAATTTAGTCTAAGTTGCGTATAAAAAACGAGCAAAAAAAACACAAGATTATGCAGGAAAGTTTTGCTGTTTTTACTCAATAACGAGATAAGCATGGCATTGGCCTATCGTCAAGTAGAATTGCAAGAAAAAATGGTTCCTGTAAAAATTGAAAAAAAAAAAAACTTTTGATTATCTTTGGAAATTTGTGATTTTGATGCCAAGTCCAATAGTTTTATAGAACGTTTTTGACGGCCCTGTGGATATTCGAGCGACTAAAAAGCCAAAAAATGGAACAAAGGCTGGAACGATCTGATTGGAATCAAAAAATCATAATTGCGCGCGTCCTAAAAACTGACGATTCAATAATTGGAGTCATGGGTAGGAAATCGACAAACTCGCCGTTGTGAGGCTCCGTCCAAAAAAATAAGCATTTCGTGAACTGGATACAAAAATTATTCGGGAATCAAAATACATTTTGACGGCCGTATTTCGCTGAAGACTTGGCGGAATGGAATCGCTAAAATTTTCCAAAAAAAAATTAAAGAAAAAACTTTTCTCGTATTTTCTGCTCTTCGACCCATTCGGTTTTTAGACCATTCCGCTTAATTGTCCGCTTCCTTCAAAACAAACCAAAGTTCATTCAGAGGATACATAAAAATTTAAGAGCGCTAATGACAACAAAATTGTAATTTCGTACAATTAAATGCTAAAACTTCGATATGGTGATGATAAAAATTCTTAAATCGATCTAGTCGGATACAATATTGGACAATTTAAATGTGTTAATTGGCCACATCATGAGATTGTGTAAGAGCTCCCGAGTTGAAGTCACAGAGAAAATCAGTACTTCCCCGTATCCAACTTTAAGCGTAAGTAATCGATTATAACGGATTATTATGATGATTTTTTGACAACTATACCCTAGTCGATCAAGGGAGGTTATCTTGCAAGATCTTGCAAGAATCTTGCAAGATTCTTTTAAAGAGGATGCATCTCTTTAAAAGATCTTGCAAGATTCTTGCAAGATCTTGCAAGATAACCTCCTTTGAAGATAACCTTTTTTTTTGCAAGATCTTTAAAGATACAATTTTTTTGGGCAAAAACAGCTTTACACGCGAAGACAACCAAGTAGCGTTCATGGAAGAAGGAAGCAATCTTAGCTACGCATACATACACACAGCCCGCTAGGCGGTTGCCCCCAGAAAGCTTCTTTTTTTAAAACTTTTTTTTGTGATAGGCGGCTATCTTCAAGTTTTGATCGACTACTTATACCTTAATCTCTCAAAATAGGAAAAACGCATTTGAGAAGAAGTCGTTTGTGATGAAAGCTTCACTTTCCTAGAACATAGCCAATCGAAGATTGCAAAGGAGTAATGAACGCAAGTAAACATTAAAAAATAACACTGACGTTGTTGAAAAATCTCAACTTTCAAAACTCAAAGAAAAAAATAGAAGCCCTTTAAGCTCTTTAAATTTCTAGAACAAATTATGATGGGCGCTTTTTTGATAACATGAACCCGACTTGAGAAAACTGGATCAATAAGTAAAGTTTTTATTCTCTGGAAATCTAAAAAGTAAATTCCACTTTCAAAACTAGAAATCGATAGTCGAAAAAACTAAATATCCCCGGTTTGAACTAATTAAAGCAATTCGTCACAAAAATTTTTTGGCCAATAATCCTTCAATTTTCGCAAACCAGTAGCCGCAATAATTGCGAATAAATTAAAAAGATTTGATTGGTTGATACTTTTAATCTCATTGAATAAATTAACAACAAATATGCGACTACTTTTTAACGCATGATTTTTGTCTAATTTTATTCGTTAAGCATTTATTTAAAGTTTTGGATTCTCGTTCTAGAAACAATTTTTTTGATCTTACACCTAATTTCTGTTATTTTTTTTGTGTTTTTCGACAGAAATTTTGGGATGGTTATCTTGCAAGATTCTTTCAAGATTCTTGCAAGATAACCTCCATCTTGCAAGATCTTGCAAGATAACCTCCATCTTGCAAGATCTTACAAGATAACCCTCTTTTGCAAGAATCTTGCAAGATCTTGCAAGATAACCTCCCTTGATCGACTAGGGTAATTGATTATATTTACCAAAATTAGGTGTTTAAAGGATTTCTAATAATTATAATCGTGATATTTTCCAAGAGACTATAATCTCTGATAATCGATTATTATTGATTACACAGTTCCTACAAAAAACCCTTAAAATCAATTATAATCGATTATAATCGATTATAATCTCTTATTTTGCCAAAATTTTGTCAATTTGAAAGTATATTCGAATTATATCTTATGGGTTATTATTTTTGTGTCAATAACAAAATCTCACAAAAAAGATATCTTGAACACTTTGGTTCATCTGAACACAAAGTCTTACCACGAAACAAAAGTTTCAAAGAGATCCTTTCATATGAGTGGAAAGCAGTAAATGAAAAATAAATCTTCCGAATCAATCATGAAATTAAAATAATTTGCTGATGTTTTGGTGTTTGAAAAAGCTTAAAATATGCATCACATCACAAACAGCTTTAATGGGGAAGAAATGAAAAAAAGACTTATAAGTTAGAAATAATTTGAAAACTTTGAAAAATATTTTTCTCATTTTTCAAAGGAACCAACGTCTACAAAAGCATAAAGTATAAGCAATTCAGATGCAACTTCGAAGACAAATTGGACAAACAAAAGAGATTACAATCAATTATAATCGATTCTATTGAATTTTTTCGCAAAAAAAAGAACTGGAAATTTGAATAAAAATAATGGATTCTAATCAATTATAATCGATTATAATTGTATCAAAAAATAGACGAATAAATAATGGATTATAATAGTTTATAATCGATTATAATTGTATCGAAAATATACCAATAAATACTCGAATATAATCGATTATAATGGATTATAATAAATTATAATTTGACTTTAAAAAGAGAGATTATAATCGATTATTAACTGATTAAAATCAATTGTTTCTCAATTTTAGTAAGACTGGAACTAAAATTGTAATATAATCGATTATTAACGCTTGAAACTGGATGCGGGTCTCGCCAGAAATGTTTTAGAAAAATATCAGTTCTGTATCAGGTTCTGGCAAGTGCAGTTTCTGATCAGAGAGAAAACAGAGAAAAAACGCAGTACAGTCTTGTGGTCGCTGGTAAATGCTCAGGTACACAAGGAAAAAGTTTTGGGAAAATAGTTTTTGTAAAGCACAATTTTGGAATTTTAAGTAAATAAACCTATCAAATGCTCTAAAATGCTACCGATACATCAATTCTGTCTAGAGATCAAAAAAATGTTCAATTATTTTTTAAACTTGTGACTGTAGCTATCTTTGTTCCGAATTTCGAAAAAATGCTGAATACTTTCGGTTTTTTTAATAATTTCTGAATGCTGAATAATTTCGAAAAATCAAATAGTCGAAATTGGTCAAAGTTTACGAACTGAAGCATGGTGAGACGGAAAGTTGCGAAAATTAAAATTGAAGTTGAAAACGGATCTAGCCCAAACAGCACATATATGGCATAAAAAACATTGATCTGCTAATTTCTTAACTTTAAATAGCATTCACTGGAAGACTTAAGAATTGAAACGACTTAAGATAAAATTTTCAGGTGAATCATTGACTTGGAGTCAAGGTCTGTGACAAATTAAATTGCGATACTCTAAATCAAACAAAATTGAAATGGCTCACCCTAATTCTCAAAATTTTACAGAAGCTTGGC